GAGAAAAGTAACTGAACTGCAGTGTTCATCATCACTCTTGACTGATTGTGGATACCCTGTGACCTGCTGGTTCAAACCCAAGCTGCCTCGATTTCTCTGCCATGAGGACTAGCTGGTACCCTTGAACTGTGAGCTGAAATAAACATCTTTCCCTTTAAGATGTTCTTGCCAGGGTATTTTATCACAGCAACAGGAAACTAAACTAAGGCAGTGGGCAAGGTATCAGGTGCTGTGAGGTGCTTACAGGCTAGTCTCCCTACTCTTCTGTCAAAGTCCATGAGCCAGTGATGATGTGACTCAACACAACCAAACTGAAATCATTCTGACAAGAGTCTACATTTTCATGTGCTGGATGTTTAAACTTTGACTATGTGGGTTCATATGTCTTATAATGAATAAATTAAAGGATATGTCAATTATTGTCATTGTCGTGCTTACTTGAAGTTTGTTTTTAGGTTTATATTAAGGAGTCAGTTAGTGTCAAGACTTTGTACACTAATTGTGTGTGTGGAGTTTGAGTGTGTGTTTACATGCATATGTGTGGGGTTTGTATATATGTTTGCATGTTTATGTGTGTGTAGTTTGTATGTGTTTGCATGTGTGTATGTATGTGTGTATAGTTTCTGTGTTTGCATGTGTGTGTGAGAGAGAGTTTAATTATCCCATTGTATGCCCTACCCTATTTAAAATCAAATTTTGTAGGGATAAGCTTACCAGAAAAACACAGGACACCCAGTTACAGTTGAATATTAAAGTATAAGTCATTTATTCAGCATAAGTTTGTTCCAGATATTTCACAGAGACTAATTATTCATGGGGAGGAACACTTGTATTAGAAACCAATCATTGTTTATCTGAAATTCAAACTAAAGTGGGCATCTCACACATGGATCCATGTTTGTTAAATCTGGCAACTCTAAGAGTCATTTATTCCCTGGTATATAAAGCTGAGTCTGCCCTCGGTTGTCAAACCTTGGTCATGCAGATTTATTGAGGAGAGAACACTGAGATGGTTTCCAGATCCTCTGAGTATTAAACCCTGATGGAAATAAGCTTGCTTTTTAGCTGAATTGTACCACCCTCCTTAAACCCATCTGCTTTCCCATGGTCCCCATTCCTTCTTAGTTATAACACATTTGAAGAACGTTATGTTTATTTGCGATAAAACCCGTGCATACAGGCCACTTAAAGAACATGCGGATGAGAATTAAAACTACTACAGTATTGGATAGGGGGCGTGATATAGGAACTACACAATTATTGTATACAGTGTTGTTTCTGAATCTCTCTTTGAGCTGTCTTGTACAAAGAGTGTGTTTGGGCAGTTAGCATATGGTCCCCATTCCTTCTTAGTTATAACACATTTGAAGAATGTTATGTTTATTTGCGATAAAACCCGTGCATACAGGCCACTTAAAGTACATGCGGATGAGAATTAAAACTACTACAGTATTGGATAGGGCGTGTGATATAGGAACTACACAATTATTGTATACAGTGTTGTTTCTAAATCTCTCTTTGAGCTGTCTTGTACAAAGAGTGTGTTTGGGCAGTTAGCAATAGTGCACACAGGGCAAACACTATAAAGTTACCACATCAAAGCATTCCATCCATCCCCAGATCATTGGTGAACTGCTTGATCAATGGCCCTGACTTACAATGAATGACCTTTCAAGTGACACATCTGGGAAAATAAAAAAGAAACCATTCCAAACAGAAGCATTTGCAGAAATCGCTCTGGGACTGTAGCACCATTCAACATTGTAAAATGCACATTTGTTATATTGCACCTTCCTGAGTTGAATTTGAAAATAAATGGTAGCCAGATGCAATGACAGAATGGGTAATTCCCCCTCCCCAGGGGTGTGGGGCTTCACTGGTGGTAGTAATAATCTTGACCATCATAGCCTTCATAGCCACGCCCCTTGTAGTAGCTGTATTCATCCTCATAGGCCCGGTAGGTGTCCCCACGAGGCTCCCCGTTCTCATTGTCGTAGATTTGATACTCACCGTTGTCCTCATTGTTGCCCGTTTGTTCGTATTCTCCCCAGTACTCAGCGGTGGTGGGTTTTCTGAATGGTGGGGCGGTGGTCCCATAGGCTTCGGGTGGTGGGGTTGTATACTGAAACCCGTTTGGAAGGACAGCTGTCGTGGGGCCGTCACTGATCTGCTCCCTGTCCAATGTGGTTCCTTCTACACCTGCTTCAGTGACGCTCTGTTCCTCACCTTCTCCATTGTCTCCTCCACTACTGCTGTTCCCACCATACGCCTCCGTTGAGTTAGCGCTGGTGCCGTTGGCGACCTGCTCGTTTTCTTCTACTTCTGCTTCTTCATTTTCATTTTCCTCCTCTTCCTCTTCCTCTTCATCACTTTCCTTGTTTTTTGCAGCCTTGCTTTCTGCATCTCCAGCCTGAAAGGGAAGGTTTGAAATCATCCAAATCTAGTTGTGGAAAAACTAAGAGCTCTACTGATGGCCGTGTTGTGGACGGTGTTTTGCGTTAAAGAAAATTTGTGTAAGAATTGGTGATGACTTAAAAAACTCAGACTAGATATTTTGTAATGAGTTTTGAGTGGTTGGGGTGTACAGCCTTAAGCCTACCCTGTGTACCATGCTTCCTTAGCTCTGCCCCCACTTTCTCTGCCTTAGAAGCCACACCTCAGAAGTGGGGTGGTACTACAGCTTGGGAGGAAATTTGCAGAATAATATTCCTCATTTGTAATCAGGGAAAACATATCTATTCTTGCTTCATTAATGAGGTAATACTATGAGTAAAGATGGTATCAGATACGGTGTGAATAGTGTCAGGAAAACTTGGACATCAGCAGAGACGAAAGCAGATGAACGTTTGGGACTCATCACCTTCTTGGGCAGCTGGAGCGCAGCGAACCCTATACTCCCGGCTTCAGTTGTGGTCTCGGCTCCATAGCTAGCTGTTACACTAGAGAGTGTTGTTTGGGACTCATCACCTTCTTGGGCAGCTGGAGCGCAGCTAACCCTATACTCCCTGCTTCAGTTGTGGTCTCGGCTCCATAGCTAGCTGTTACACTAGAGAGTGTGGTGTTCCCAGCCTCTGCCTCCTCATCTTCATTCCCCTCGGAATCTTCATTGTTTTCCTCTTCATTTGAAGTCTCCTGGTGAGAATATCCAGAGTTCAAAATTTACTATAGCTGGGCCAGAACTCATGATTTGCTGGGTGTTTTAGGCACTATTTGAAAATGCCCCCAGCTGGCTCGTCACTGCCTCCTTGTATTCCGTTTCCCTTCTAATTTCTAAGAACTCAACATTATTTAATCCTATTTATCAGTTTTTGGGATGCTGCAGTGACTATGCTTTTTATTTTAGCAACTTAATAGTCTTTAGATGTTTAGTGAACAATATTTCTTCTGCGTAAGAAATTTATAGTGGTATATAATTTTATTACATGAAAGTGATTAAAAATTAAGACTTGAACATATGGAAATTATAATCTTTAATGTTTTATTCTTTTATTTATGCTCTAAGATAATATCTTGCAAATTGAACTAATCTATCATTATAATTAGTACCTAGTAGTAAAAGTCTGTATTTCGTACATTTAAATTTATGCATTTAAATGAGTACTGGACAGTTGAATTTACTTGAAAGGTATTTCTGGGAGATTGTGATGTTAGGATAATGTTAAGATTTCAGGAAAACAAATTAAATCAGAGTTTGATCCTTCTTATGAAAACAAATTAACTAACATAGGATTTTCCTCATTAAGTTTGTGAATGCTATAGTTTTCAGTGAAGGATTTGATATAGCCCAAGCCCACCTTTACAAGCTAGGTGTGCCTGATATCCCATGAGTGGTATACAGTCTGTTTTTTTTTAAAAATGATTCATTCAAACAGATTAGACTTTTTAATGGTGTAAGGAGAAATTATTAGTATCACTGGAAAGATTCTAAGAGACCATGCTAGTTGGCTCTTGTTCCCTCATTTCATTGATGAAACAGCTGAAGTGTAGTCAGTCATACAGTGACCTGTGCAAAGTCAAGTAGATGATAATTCATTGGTGGCAGGGTCAAGACTGAAGAGTGTTCAATCTCCTAATGTACACAATTCCTCCTCTTAGATCCTTTCTTGGACCAGAAACTTAATTCAAGAATATTCTTGTGCAAACAAATTAAAAAGAAAATGGGTTGGACTGTTGCTAGATATTAGGCTTCAAATATCTTATTAGATAGAAAAGCTACTCATATCCACTACCCACTAGAATGGCCAAAACAAATGAAATAAACAGGCATTGGTGAGCATGGGAAGGAGCGGTAGAGACTTAGTATGCTCAGATGGGGCTGACTGCTTCTACATTGGAAAGCCTTCAGTGAAACTGAACATGTGCACAACTTTTGACTAAGAAACTACACTTTTCAGAAAAATAGCCTCCCCTAATAAATGTGTATAGTCTCTTGAAAAAGTTTTTGAATGTTCCCAGCAACACCACATTCATAGCAATCCTATCAAGATGTCCATTTTCAGACAAATCATACATTGCAACACACTGATGCTGTGAAATACTGGCAGGAGGGAAGGCCAGGACAACAAAAGCCTCTTACAATACAATGGGTACTATGTGGTTCTATATACAGAATATGTACATGTATAGTATATGTAAAGTACATAAAGCATTGTGTATTAAAAAAACAAGCAAGAGTTAACCTTCTCAATTAAAGTCAAACTCACGGTAGTCAACAGTGGGAGTTGATCAATGTAATATGTGTTGTTTTAAATATTAGTGCTGATTTTATTTATATTTTCAGTTTCTGAAATTTCAATGAGCTCATAATGTTATCATGTATGTTTCGATTAAGCAAGTCTGAAATACTTTAAGGTGTGTGCGGGTTGTTATCATCAAATAGAAAATGTGCCCAAGTAGTTTCCTCATGTGAATATAATCACCAAGCTTTGTATACCTAGCTGGAATTACCAATTACATTTTAAAGAAGAAGTGAAGATTAAAACATGTCTAGAATCTTCCAACTAGAAGATTTCCAAATCTACCCACCTTTCTGTGATTACTGTGAATGATGGTCTTTGCCACATCTATTCCTTTGGCATTCAAAATCAAATCATGAACTATTTACTGAGCTTCATATATAGAACAGAATTGTGCTAGGCAGTGTGAGGAGTTACAACAGGGGGCATGGAACAGTCCTTCCTTAAACTGAGTTTAACATAGGGTTCTTGGGTTTTAGAGGATTTGAGCAAAAGAAATGGGAGGGCCTGCATATTCAGAGGTGGCTGGTTTTGGGTGTGCCTAACTTTGCCAGAGGTCTGTATTAACCACTACCTCCACCACAGCAAACCAGGAACTACTTCCAAGAGATTCATGGTATAACTGGAATTTGCAAAGGGCACTTTACGATTGTTGGACAAAAAATAAATAAATAAATAAATAAATAAATAAATAAAAAACAGCTGTAGTAAAATTGTTGGACAAAAAATAAATAAATAAATAAATAAATAAATAAATAAATAAATAAAATAGTAAAATGAATAAGTCTCCCTTAATTTTGGAGTATAACTGAGCTATAGCAAGATTTTGCAGGATGTAGGGCACACATGGTTTCTGGTCCTGGATTGGCATTATTTTTAAGACCTTCCCTCCACTGTCAGCATAACTATCGCACAGGAAATGTTACTTAACCAAAAGAAAAAACTGATACTTGGTCATTATTCAAGTTGCCACATCTTTTGCTTTCAGGATAGCTGACACAGATGTTCCACTTTTGACTGTCATTTTCTACTCATAAATACCACCTAGGAATACCTGAATTTAGAAGGTTTCCAAGCCAAGGTAGCTATAATTGGCTATCCAGGAAAATATATCCTTATAGTATGTTTTCTTAGCCAAGATGTCATTTATAAACATAATATCATGATTTCTAAGCTATATAAATGAATTTTTGTAATTAAATATGGTAATTTAACTCTTTAGGAAGATGTTTATACATCTGGTTTTTGTCATCTAATAATTATATAAAAACCTAATAAGTTGCTATTAAAGAGACTGACCATATTCTGTCGATTAAGTCAGGACACCACTGTAAAGGTCTCAGTTGACTTCACATCCTGCCCATTGAGGAAGTTGCATCACACCAAGCTTAGGATTACTTCTTTCTTGTCTACTGTCATGGGCATTCAATATAAATAAATTTCATGCTTCTTTTTAACGGGTTTTACAGGTCCCTTAAAATGCAGACACCTTGTTTTTGTGTACCACATCTAGTTAACTTTAACCCCGCTCTGCAATGGTGTTTGAAGTAGGTGGTTTTAGTTGCTTCTAACTTAAATGACATTCTACCTACCCAAAATAGCTGGTTACGGGCAGCTGGCAAGGCAGCAGCAGCTATTTGCTGAGTCCAGATTGCTATTAGTTCCCGTGCTGCCTGGCTTGTTATGGAAGAAATAGAAAAGGTCTTACCTCTTCCCCTTCTTCATCTGAACTATCACCGTCTCCATTTTCTTCAGAAGAGTCACTGCCTCCCTAAAGCATATACACATACATATACATATATACATGCACATATACATGGCATTTTGTGCACTATATACACATATGAAGCATAAATATATACTCTGTGACAACTGAAATTTCCTGATGATTAAAATGTAACACACAGAGACATTACTTACAAGCATTAGTATTCTCAAATTTGTTGGTTTATTAACACAAAAGAGTGTCATGCTAAAGTGAGAATGATGTGGGTACATCCGTGAAACGAGTGCAGAGAGACAGCTGTTGTGTAATGAACAGTGTATGAATGAGGTTGCTCACCTTCAACCTCCCAAACATAGACAAACGCTGAAATATTACATTCTGTGAGAAAGCCGGAACAACAAATCACAAACTGCTTAGTTTTGAAGGGAAGAACTACTGAGGGCACCTCTCCAAGAGGGACCCACTCAAAAAGGGTGATTCTGCCAACCGTTTCTAAGCATGACTCAGATTAAGACACAGATGTCATAGTCTTATTTTCTTACGAAATATAGGTTGTAATGATGTAGCTTACTATAAAGTGTAAAGTGTTATTTGATAATTTTCTTAAATACTACAACATAAGTTGTAACTTGATTTTGAGAAATTAAATTTGCATTCTTAGATTCTCAACTAATTAAAACTAATTTTAAAAATTTGTTAGTATATACATATACATATATATATACATATGTATATATATATATGTACAGTTAAATTAGATAAAAGATATAAAAGCACTTACGATTTGGCGGGGTGACAATAAAGTAAACCAAGGAGCCTACATATAAAACAGGAGTCAATGAGCTTCCCTGGGGTCTTCATCGTTGTTGCCTTTATATTGTTTTGTTATGTTCTTACAGTGCTGTGGATCAAACTCAGGACAAATGCTCTACACATTCAACATATCCTAATTCTGAGCTTTCTTCTTTTCATTTTTTTAATTACATGTAAGTCTAAACATGCATCAGAACTTCTAAGCCAAGAGAGGAGATTCTGATCTTTCTGCCAAAGACAGCCAAAAGGGAATCTCCCTTCACATTCCACACCAGCTCAACAGCCTCAGGCATCCATGCGTACCTAGCCTCAGGGTCTTCCCTTTCAGGCCTATCAGTGTTAGCTTTGATTCTGAACATCAGTTAAGCATCCTGTCCCGGGAGAACATGACTTAGAAGGACCTGTAACTTCTGAGTTAGCAATGAGGTTGTAGAGAAGACTCATCCGTCTGATGCTTATGGCAGCCACTGCTGGCCTCATTCTCCAGGTGACCTTGTCACCCAGCCAAGGAAAGGGAATGCTTGCTGCCTTGGGCCAATAATAACTTCAGGTGGAAAAAGAATAATTAGACCCTCCCTACTCTGCCATGACCTAGTAGTTATGCTGTTCCACACCCGGGGTGTGTGTGTGGGGGGGTAAAACAAATTATATTTGAGCTATTTCCACTCATTAAATCAAATATAGAGGATCATATATTTACCTAAGCAGAGCTGTCTTTCTCAGCTGGGAGTGTGTTAGGTATTCTTCATGCTTCCTTCACTCTAATTTCCTCCCCCAACCCACTAACATGCTACTGTGGGTGTGTTAGGAACCATGTAAAAGCTGCAAGGAATACCTTAAAGGTTTGTATTCTATTTTTATTGCTTTGAATCACTCTCCTTTCTTTTAGTTATTACCAATTTATCACAAAGTCTTACTGATTCTTCCAGGGCCTTTCATGAATTTTTATAGATATGTGAGAGATGATGGGTAGGTAAAAGGCAGATGAGCAGCTGTCTTAATGGAAGGCAATTCTGAAAATCCACATTTGTATGCTAGCTGAATATGATAAAAGAAATATTGCTGGCTACAAGTTGGCACAGTAATCAAATATCATCTATGTATAAAATGTAATTTTTTATTAAAACAGCTTGGGGTATTAATTAAACTGATTTATCCTTCTGTTTCTATAGTTCATCATGGAGACAATATATAGTAGATGTGCTGGTGGCTTTGCAACTCATTGCCTGCAAGTTGCTATTTTATGGATGACTGACCATAAACAGACTTGCTCACTAAAACATGAATTTTGAAGTCAATAAAATATAACCCATGAGGTCATATAAAATATAACCCAGGATGACAACTTTGGATAATAAATAGATGTTGAAATAAGATAGGAGACATCAAACTTTGTAAAAAACAGGAGCTTGTCACAAATGTCTGAGAAAGTTGTATTTTGAGCTGTTTTATTTTTTACCTTAAAACAACTACCTTACAAGTTCTACTTAAATTGATCAAGTCCCTATGTATATAACTTGTGATAAAAGTATATTTTACTTCTGTGGACTTTGAGTCTATCAATAGCAAAAAAATAAAAGCTGTAACTTTACCAATATTAGTATACTATGGACTTTTTAGTTGAATCACACATGTCCAGGTGGAAATGTTTGTATATAAGTATTAGATATTTCAGAAAAGTTGGCCATCTACTTAAGAACTAGAACTTATCTCATTTGTGTTTTAGAAAGGAAACAAGTTCCCAAATGGACCCTGTTTATTTCTGGGCCTGAGGTGAACCAAAGAAAGGAAGACAACTCTGAAAACCCACAACTCTTGTATCATCTGTGCTCACATTTCTGTGGCCACACAAGTTCCCTATAATTATAATGGTGCTAGAAATACTTGAGGGCTATGATTTCCCAGCATTGCATGAGCTGGACAGGGGTCAGCCAGACATATGAGGAGACTAGGGGCCAACCCATTGCACTGAGGCAGCATTTGAAGCAACCTGCTGCTTTCAGAGCCTTGGGAGACCTGGGTCAAATGGTGCATAATTGATGCTCTGAACCCAAACTGTACAGTCACAAAAATAGTGTCACACTAGTCTTGTGTGTATTTAGAACCAGTGCCACACCCTCCAGGATCCAAAGGCCTGGTTCACAAATAACCCAGAAAAAATGGGATGTCTCATTTTTAGCTTTGGCCATTTTTCTTTCTTGTTTACAAATTTTACTGATTTTTTTCCTCACAAGCTTCCTACATTTCACAAGTTTCTCTTTCCTCTGCAGTGCTCAGGTCAGACCATGTTATAATTGTGCTCCATGTGTGATCCACAGCTCTGCCACCTAACAGAGTAAGGGTTCCAGATACCATCATCAATGACAGTGAGTTACTAATGCTTGCTGCCTTGTCTGAAGACCCAGGGGCTTATGAACTCAGCTTTTAAAGAGCTTAGGGTTGTTGTGAACAGCTGGGTGACGGTCCTGAACCAAGCATAATGACAATTAGTGACCTTATCACCGGCTGCATTGCCAGTACCTGAGAATACCGTTTATTGTTGTCATCAGATTAGCTGAAAACTTGAACTCTAAACATCAGGGCACTTCTTTCTATTACCACAGTGATTTGACTCTGTGTACTTTGTCTCTTGTGTTGGAAGAGAACTTATTTTTTGTCTTTTTTAATATATTGAAACTTCCATAGCAAGAAGGAGGAATCTGAATGAATGGAGGGTGGATTCAGATGTGTGGGTGTTAAATTTAATCCCAGTAATAAACTCACCACAAGTGAAAAGGAAATTAAGCTTCACACTCACCTGGACTGGAAACCGCTTTAGAGGAGGATAGAAGTAGGCATGCTTGTAGAGGAAATAGCGTGGCCGGTATTTAAAGACCTGAGCAGATAAGATGCACGTTAGCATCATGTGCACCATGTGGTATGTTAGAATAAGTGAAGCCCAGCGAAATTTTCTGAAATTACTTACCCCGTTTTCCTCAGAGTCCTCAGCTTTGACCCTGCGGTGCAAATTTTTCATCTGTTCAAAAGAACATATTATCGTTACCTACCCCATTTACATAAAAATGCAACTACCAAAAGTACAGGGTTTTCCCAGTGAACTTACTGAGAAAGCACAAGCCATTCCCAAAATGCTGAGCAGAATCAAAGCTGTCTTCATTTTGCAATTATTTCTGTAATCCAAGAAGGGATACAGTTAACAGATATCAAAACAAAGGGCATGGCTCATTTGCTCATAAAGAATTCAATTGGTAATAATTTGTCTCATCTTAACTAAGCATAAGTGAGTTTCTGGTTGGAGAAGTGTAGGTACTTGCCTGGCACACGTGAGGACCTGTGTTTGATCCCCAGTTTATGTTTATTTTCCAAGTCCTTCCACTTATGTTGAAGCCATGTCTGTACAGTCCTGAACTCTACATATGATTCACCCATTCTTCTGTGATTTGTCAGTGGAGGGTCACTGGATCCCTGCATTAGGATCTGAATAACCCGATGCTTCACACAGGGGGTGAAGGAATCTCCAAATGGCACTGACAAGGAAGTGTCAGCCACACCAACTGTCCTGTCAGAGTAGCTATTTGTCCCACTCAGCTGCTAATGCTTAAAAATGAAGCAAAGCTCAAATGTGTTGAAATGGTTCATTTACACGGTGAACTACAAGAAGTTTCCAACTTCCGTGTATATTTTTGAACTAAAAGAAGTAGCTATTTGTCCCACTCAGCTGCTAATGGTTAAAAATGAAGCAAAGCTCAAATATGTTGAAATGGTTCATTTACATGGTGAACTACAAGAAGTTTCCAACTTCCGTGTATATTTTTGAACTAAAAGTTCATTCTTAAAATAGAGAGTAGGGGCCTTTTCCCCTTGAATACTTCATAGTTGGTTTGGGACCTGGAAGAGAGAGGGAGGATGGGAGAAAGAGGGAGGGAGGAGGGAAGAGAGGGAGGGAGAAAGTGAGAGAGGGAGGGAGGGCAAAGGAGATAGGGGAGAGGAAGAGAAAGAGGGAGAAGAAAGACAGAGACAGAGAAACACAGAGGGAGGAAGAGAGGGAGGGAGGGCGGAAAAGGGAAGAGAGGAGAGGGAGAGAAACACCTCATATCATATGACATGCTATCGTGTGAGAAATAGCTCTTGATAGTCTCAAGAGCTCTTCAGAATTTCATCTGGAGGTACAGGATAAATCTCCTGGAATCAGGTTTCCCCAGCTCCATTTAAGCTTTGCACATCTTAGTGTGGAGCACTGTGGTATCAGTGTGGAGCACTGTGGTATCTCAGTGTGATGCACTGTGGTAGGTACAGATGCTCTATAGAAATACCAAAGATGCAGCCACTAGTTGGTGGATATTCTGGAGCAATCCTGGGGTTTGCAGCAACAGCTCCACCTTCAACATAGCTTCATCATAGACAGAAGCAGACAGCGAAGCATTACCCTAAAATTCTATTTTAACTCTATGCTCTCGAAGTTGAACAGACTTAGCTGGGATCCTAACACCTGCTCGCTCACAGATGATGGGAGTTGCTTCAAACACGGTGGCAATTTGATGATAAAATGGGAATGGCAATGTCTCCAAATACATTTTGTAATTTAATGTTTAAAATGTATGAAATCCATGCCATGTATTGTACTCTGTGGGGAGATTTCTTTTTATTTTACCTCATCATTAGTATTTACTACAGCCATACCAAGTATTAGATACTAAGATAAACATTATGCAGAGTAAGGCTCCAGGCACACTGCTGGTGTGGGAATTTTAACTTGATGCATACATACCCTTCCCACAACTCTTTTCAGCGTGGGTCTTGGAATCATTCATATTTGTTTGTGTGCAAACAAATGAGGTGAAAAAGGGAGGAAGGGAGCAGGAGAGAGACACCCAGAGACAGTTTAACAAATTTACAGTCCGTGAAGATGGGCCACCTGTTTAAGAAGATTGATGAGCCAATCTGAATGGTACACTTAGGAGGTAGATGCAGGAGAAACAGGGGTTCAAGGACATCCTTGACTACATAGTAAATTCTAAGTAATCCTGTGCTATATGAGATTCTGTTATCAAAAACTAAAACAAAAACAATAGCAATGAAGGCGTGCAGGAAGAGGGCAGAGGAGAAGGAAGATGAGGAAGAGTAGGAACTTTGCTTTACAGCTTCATGAAAATGTGATATTCATAATATTCAGAAAACTTAAATACACAGAACTGTAGGCAGAGCTGTGATAAGAAAATTTTCTCACAAGAAAGCATGACCTAACCAAAATGAAAGCATGGCAGAGATGATAATGTTTTATATATAAAAACAAGTGAAAGGTAAATACCCTAACTGGCTGGCCATGTCAATCTCATCTTATTTACTTTTTGATTCATCAAACAGCAGAGACGTTTGTAGTGGCCACTACTCACTGGACAACTCAAACACTCTTAAAAGATTGTGTTATAATTACATATAAGGGCAAAAATCATTTACTTCTATAGTAGTAAACATTTCCATACTGATTTTAGAGCTATAGGATACAAACATTTTGAAATTTAATACAGAACCTATTGGAAAGATATTGTGTATTACTGAAGAACAGATTAAGTATAACTTTTGGAAAATGCATATATCTAGGCAATTTACAAATGTAAATAGCATTGCAGGTAGGTTGCCCTGAATACATCAGCATGAGAAAAACGTTGGCCAGGATATGTAGAAACAGAAAGGAAGATGCATCATTTTCTAGTTCATGTTCCCAATCTGAGCAGTTTACTGCTTGCTTAGGTTCAGAAGCCTGGCCCTGTCCTTTGGAGACAAGCGAAACACAGAGGTCCCATTCATAGTAAACAAAAGCTTAATCAAAGCTATTGTGCACAATGCCATAAGATTGCGGTATCTCAGTGTGGAGCACTGTGGTATCTCAGTGTGGAGCACTGTGGTATCTCAGTGTGATGCACTGTGGTAGGTACAGATGCTCTATAGAAATACCAAAGATGCAGCCACTAGTTGGTGGATATTCTGGAGCAATCCTGGGGTTTGCAGCAACAGCTCCACCTTCAACATAGCTTCATCATAGACAGAAGCAGACAGCGAAGCATTACCCTAAAATTCTATTTTAACTCTATGCTCTCGAAGTTGAACAGACTTAGCTGGGATCCTAACACCTGCTCGCTCACAGATGATGGGAGTTGCTTCAAACACGGTGGCAATTTGGTGATAAAATGGGAATGGCAATGTCTCCAAATACATTTTGTAATTTAATGTTTAAAATGTATGAAATCCATGCCATGTATTGTACTCTGTGGGGAGATTTCTTTTTATTTTACCTCATCATTAGCATTTACTACAGCCATACCAAGTATTAGATACTAAGATAAACATTATGCAGAGTAAGGCTCCAGGCACACTGCTGGTGTGGGAATTTTAACTTGATGCATACATACCCTTCCCACAACTCTTTTCAGCGTGGGTCTTGGAATCATTCATATTTGTTTGTGTGCAAACAAATGAGGTGAAAAAGGGAGGAAGGGAGCAGGAGAGAGACACCCAGAGACAGTTTAACAAATTTACAGTCCGTGAAGATGGGCCACCTGTTTAAGAAGATTGATGAGCCAATCTGAATGGTACACTTAGGAGGTAGATGCAGGAGAAACAGGGGTTCAAGGACATCCTTGACTACATAGTAAATTCTAAGTAATCCTGTGCTATATGAGATTCTGTTATCAAAAACTAAAACAAAAACAATAGCAATGAAGGCGTGCAGGAAGAGGGCAGAGGAGAAGGAAGATGAGGAAGAGTAGGAACTTTGCTTTACAGCTTCATGAAAATGTGATATTCATAATATTCAGAAAACTTAAATACACAGAACTGTAGGCAGAGCTGTGATAAGAAAATTTTCTCACAAGAAAGCATGACCTAACCAAAATGAAAGCATGGCAGAGATGATAATGTTTTATATATAAAAACAAGTGAAAGGTAAATACCCTAACTGGCTGCCCATGTCAATCTCATCTTATTTATTTTTTGATTCATCAAACAGCAGAGACTTTTGTAGTGGCCACTACTCAGTGGACAACTCAAACACTCCTAAAAGATTGTGTTATAATTACATATAAGGGCAAAAATCATTTACTTCTATAGTAGTAAACATTTCCATACTGATTTTAGAGCTATAGGATACAAACATTTTGAAATTTAATTTGGAAAGATATTGTGCATTACTGAAGTACAGATTAAGTATAACTTTTGGAAAATGTATATATCTAGGCAATTTACAAATGTAAATAGCATTGCAGTTAGGTTGTCCTGAATACATCAGCATGAGAAAAACGTTGGCCAGGATATGTAGAAACAGAAAGGAAGATGCATCATTTTCTAGTTCATGTTCCCAATCTGAGCAGTTTACTGCTTGCTTAGGTTCAGAAGCCTGGCCCTGTCCTTAGGGAAGAAGCGAAACACAGAGGTCCCATTCATAGTAAACAAAAGCTTAATCAAAGCTATTGTGCACAATGCCATAAGACCCACGTTTCAATAAGAAATTCCAAGCCCAATCCACACAAGTAAGCCTGAGGTGCCTGGCTGAGAAGTAGGGAAGTTTGCTCATCTTACCCTTGGCAGTCCTGGCTGGAGTGAGTGAGTGGCACGGATTGTTCCCTCTGCTGTCACTCACCCATTCACTTGCTCTTGCTGGCTATAAACCCTCTCTGCCTTCCAGCAGCCAATCACAGCCACAGTCAGCATGATGTCAGTCTCACCAGAAAACCCCAAACTTCAACACGTTTCAAAGATTCGGGCTCCGTTGAATAAACATGAAAGGTGGGTCTAGTGCCAAGAGGTTTGCATTGTGGGATTTAATTGAAGGGTTAGAAGAAGACAGCAGTTAGAGTTCTGAAGATATATAATAATATGCTGGATCTCAAATAAAATAAATAGCAAAAGACTTAAGCATTTAAACGTTCACAATTATACAAGTTTCCACTATGTTGAAAGAAAGGGAAACCGGCTATTGCACACATCACTGCATTAGTTTAAAAGTACTAAATAAAGGGAATGAGTTGATGGCTAGTGATGCCCCAATGTTCTTTTATATTCCTTCCCGAGACATATTTCAGAGACTCAAAATTAATGTAATAATATGCTGGATCTCAAATAAAATAAATAGCAAAAGACTTAAGCATTTAAACGTTCACA